TATCACTGTACAGACATTAGGTGGGAACCAAGTTTTTAAAACTTCTCCACCATGCAGATTACACTCATGAGAAGTAGGAAAGCTAATGTATTTAAAATGCTGGGTTGGAACTTGGGAGATACAGGTGTGCTTTCACATTGGTTCTGTCCTATGACAACCATAAGGCAACGCCACTTCCATTTTTTTGCAGAAAGATTTGTTCAGAGAGGGCTTGTTTTTCCCTCTCTGAGGCTGAGTGTGTGTGACTGGGGGGGGGGGGGTCTTACTAGACAATGTTAGGMCCAGAAGAGACTTTTGGAGGCTTAAAAAGCCTCAAAAAATATTGTTAAGGGGTCTGTTGTAAGGGATGACCCCAAAGGTCAGGTGGCAATGTATTCTGCTGCTCTGTCAGTTGCCCAACCCTGGCTTAAAACAATTCATAATATTTCAATAGGCCTCTATTTTGTCTGTGTAACTTACCACCATTGATTCTTGTCAGAAATATTAAAAATTAACTAGGTATTTTAATTACAAAAATGTGACTCAAGCACTGAAAGGGTTAAATGGATGCAATTACTCAGCAAAAGCTGCAGTTCTATATAAGCAGGTGTGCCTGTAGCTTAGTAGCAGTCAATCTGAAGTAAACCTCAGTGGGAGAAAGTCTCAGTCTGTGAGAAGCCTGTGTGAGAGAATGTCTCAGGGAAAGAATAGGTCTCAGTGTTTGTAGGCCTCAGAGTGTGAGGTTGGCCTTGGTATGAAAAGGCCTTGTGTGTGAAGCTCCAGTGTGAAGGTTGAACATTATTTGTATCATGGAAACCTTGTTCTTGTAAATACTGCAACCATATTATTTTGCTATAAAGAAAAGGTTCCTATGGAAGAGATAACATTGGTCTGTGTGTTTTTGTTCTTTTTTTTCACTTTGGGCTTCTAGTGCTGGATCACACAGCTGATAAATTACTCTGCTGTACGTTTTGGGGAGGGTCTTTTATTAATAAGCCCACTGGTTAGCAGCCACTCTTCAGGGTCTCTGACAACCAATCTGCCATCTACTTCCCTTTGAATGGATGTAGCAAGACTGAACCTGAAATCTTTCTGAATGTAAAGCAGAGAAGCAATACAGGACAGGAAAGGAAATGTCTTCTCGCCAGGCGCTTTTATGGCTCTAACTGTCCCACTTGAGAGATTCCCACTCAAAAGTTAATTTGCCCGCTGAACCAAATGTGTCATTGGCACTCTATGAACTGGAACAGTTCACATTTTTATAGTTATACTTTTGGGTACAGTTTGTACCTCCCAAGTCCAGAAAGAAGAGGAAAGAAGGAATGAAAGGTTGATGGTCATACAATGAATAACTGATTTATGGAATTAACTGTCACACGAAGTAGTAAATGCTATGAACTCGGAAGTCTCTAAAAGGGAAATAAACAAATTAATGAGAGACTAGTGTAGCAGCACCATATATTTGTACAAGATGGCTTCAATGTATTGTTGAAGGCTTTCATGACTGGAATCACTGGGTTGTTGTAGGTCTTTTGGGCTGTATGGCCATGTTTTAGAAACATTCTCTCCTGATGTTTCGCCTGCATCTGTGGCAAGCATCCTCACAACCTCCTTACGTGGCCTGGGAGCTTTGGGCCTATGAGCACAGGCTTTGGGACTATGTGCCCGGCCCTGGCAGAGCCTGCAGCCAAGTAAGGGGCACTTCTTACTCGGTGCACGGCTGCAGGCCCTGCCAGGCCCTAAGCAATTGATCCAAAAAGCAAGTCTGTCGGCCTTTCGTGTCAATTGCATTTATGTTCCAGGAGGGGCTTTTCCATTTCGTGCCATCCGAATGGATGGAACAAAACGGAAACACGAATAAAACGAATGTGACAAATTTTGGGGCCATGACTAATAAATACATACATATCTAGGTGTGTGTATGTATGTATGTAATTTGCAATGTTTTTAGCTATGAACTTTGCATACTGTTTTTTGCCATATTCTGTTAAGTGTTGTCTATATAATTTATGTTTTATGTCTGTTATGCTAGATGCAGACTAAGTGATTACTTTATGTTTTTATTTATGTATTGGATCTGGCATTGAATGTTTACCAAATCAAATCAAATCATTATTTTGGTTTACCATCTTTTGTTGTAATCTGCCCTGAGTCCCCTTGGAGAGAGTGGTTGGGTTATAAATAAATAAATAAATAAATAAATTATTATTATTATTATTATTATTATTATTATTATTATTATTATTACTAGCCATCCCCTGCCACACGTTGCTGTGGCCCAGTGTGGTGATCTGGAAAATGTTGGTTTCTTTATGTTTGTGTTGATGTAGAGATTCTCTGGTTGGCCTACTCTGGAACATGCAACATAGAATTGTCCTTCTTTAGGGGTCCTTTTCAAATCTATGATACTATATCTGTGTTTGTGTGTGTGTGTGTGTGTGTGTGTGTGTTAATCATATCCATCTATATCTATGGCTGGATGGCTCTTTGTTAGGAGGGCTTTGATTACGTTTTCTTGCCTGGTGATGGGAGTTAGACTGGATGACCTTAAGTATTTTCTGTTGGTCATGGGGGTTCTGTGTGGTAAGTTTGCCCAATTCTGTCCTTGGTGGGGTTCAGAATGCACTATAAATCCCAATAACTACAACTCCCAAATGTCAATGTCTATTTCCCCTAAACTCCATCTGTGTTCATATTTGGGCATATGGGATATTTGTGCCAAGTTTGGTCCAGATCCATCATTGAGTCCACAGTGCTCTCTGGATGTGGGTGAACTACAACTCCCAAACTCAAGGTCAATGCTCACCAAACCCTTCCAGTATTTTCTGTTGGTCGTGGGAGTCCTGTGTGCCATGTTTGGGTCTATTCCATCATTGGTGGAGTTCAGAATGCTCTTTGATTGTAGGTGAACTATAAATCCCAGAAACGACAACTCCCAAATGACGAAATCATTTTTTGTTGAGTGATGGTCACTCCTTGGCTTAGTAGGTGTCTTGTGGCCAAATTTGGCAGCAATTCGTCCAGTGGTTTTTGAGTTATGTTAATCCCACAAACGAACATTACATATTTATTTATATAGATTATTATTCTGCTAAAACTAGTCTTGGACAAATCCAAGAGATGCAGTGTTTCCAATTGTGAACTCTGCTGAAAGAGACCAAGTTTTAATTAAATCAGTCTTGATGTTTCCCAAAAAGAAATTTACACTCTGGGGAATACAGTTCTAGTCCAACAGGAGGAAATGGCCCTTGGCCCCTCTGCAATTGCAGATCTCTGGAGTATAGGAACTAAAATAAAAGAGCTGTTGCAGTACACTTGGTGGCTAGTCTCTCAAAGCAGTTTCACTACGTGAACTAGAATATTAATGGCATTCTAATCTACTTTAATAGCACCCTCATTAAATCCTTTAATACTTCAAGGGAATAGCAAAGCCTAGAAAAAAGTACTGGCTAGATTGGCTGTGGAACTGCGGAAGTTAGCACAGTAGGTTAACCTCCAGTTGCAAAAATCTTGCCGACTGAAAGGTTGAAGCCTGGGTCAGGGTGGGCTCCTGGTATTTAGCCCAGCTTCTGCCTACCTAGCAATTTTGAAAACAGCAATGTAAGTAGATAAATAGCTACCGCTTAAGCATGGAGGTATTTAAGGCACTGATAAGGATATGCCAGAAAATGCTGGCGATTTGATCAAGGAGGAAGTTTACATACAAAGCTCTTCAGCAGCGAAGGTGGAGCAACAGCATCTCACTGTGGCTGGAACCGAGCACGATGCTGAAGATGGGAAAGCCTCTATATGCCTCTGTCTATGTACTCATACAATTGTCTGTCTTGTCAGTGTATAACGGCATTGAATGTCTGCCATATATGTGTTCTGTGATCCTCTCTGAATCCCCTTTGGGGTAAGAAGGGCGGAATATAAATACTGTAAATAAATATAGTTTTTAAAGGTTTCTAAACTCTATAGACTGAGTTTATCTTTCTATTTTCTACCCTACTTTTCCATCTGCAAATAATTCAAAATCTTCAGAAAACAACAAATCTACACCCGAAATTGTGCTTTCAATGACACACAAATTTTTAAGGATTCACTGAATGGAGAGAACATCACAATTATTATAGTTTCAACAAGTGAGAATGAAAATAAGTAAAGATATATATCCATATTCATAATATATAATCCATATTAGTATATTATGTATCAGGTATATAAATGAATTAAGTTTTTAGATTTGGGTCCCATCTCCAAAATATCTTTTTATGTACAGTAGACTCTCACTTATCCAATGTTCTGTATTATCCAGTGGAGTCTGCCTCCTGCCCTGATCCACAGCTGTTTCAATACATTGCAATGTTTTGGTGCTAAATTCGTAAATACAGTAATTACTACATAATGTTACCATGTATTGAACTGCTTTTTCTGTAGATTTGTTGTAAAACATGATGTTTTGGTGCTTAATTTGTAAAATCATAATGTAATTTGACATTTCATAGAATCAATCAAAGAGTTGGAAGAGACCTCATGGGCCATCCAGTCCAACCCCCTGCCAAGAAGCAGGAATATTGCATTCAAATCACCCCTGACAGATGGCCATCCAGCCTCTGTTTAAAAGCTTCCAAAGAAGGAGCCTCCACCACACTCCGGGGCAGAGAGTTCCACTGCTGAACGGCTCTCACAGTCAGGAAGTTCTTCCTCATGTTCAGATGGAATCTCCTTTCTTGTATTTAATAGGCTTTTTCTTAATCCCGCCTTATTATCCAATATTTTCACTTATCCAATGTTCTGCTGGCCCGTTTATGTTGAATAAGCAAGACTCTATGTATATGCAAGGACAGGTATTCTAAGATCTTAAAAAGTCAAAATACTTAAGGCTCCAAGCCTTTCAGACACTCAAAGCATGTTTTTGAAATGCAAATTGATCATGCCCCAATTGCAAAAGAAAAACTAGTTACAGGTAACTGTGTGTCTTTCAATTTACATGCAAGCTGTTCCAGATTGATATATACATGGCATAAATGCCCACTTACCGCTGAGAGCTGGACACAGATGGAATTGACATCATATTCGATATACGCCACCTCCACCCCTTCCTCCGATTTCCCATCCTTGGTATAGCAGAGGTCCCTGGTCTGCGTGGTGAGACGGTCCACTTCATCCATGGTATAAATACATAGTGCAGATTCCTCGCTCAGTTTCCCCGAAGATGCCTGCCAGGCGGAAAAGGCAGCAAAAAGCACATCTCCTTGGGCTGAGCCATTGCCTCCTTCTTCGCCAGGTTGTGCAACATAGGCAGCTTGCAGGAGGCTGTAAGTCTTGTCTTTGCTCCTACAGAGCAATGGTAGCTCCACGTAGGAGTAATAGTGTGAGTCGTCCAGGCAGATCTTCGAAATATAGGTCCTATACTCACGGGAGTGTGACTTCAGATCACGCCGGTAAAATAAGAAGTAAACGCTGGAGCCGTGAGTGAACGACTGGATAAAGTGATGGTTATACTCCGAAAGCCGGCCCACGGCCAGTTTTGCAGTTTCCTCATAGGAGAAGATGGGGTGTGAATCTAGCCCTGGGATTTCTCCAGGATGAGCCCTAAGATTTCGCGTTGTAATGGGGGGAATGCTGCCTCCCACTCCCCGACTGGTATACCCTCGTCCCACAAAGAGGAGCGGCACATTGTCTTTGGAGTACCCAACCAGCCCCACTGTGGAAATATTGGGGTCATTTGCTGCCACGTATTGCGTGTCTCCCGGAGTCTGAGGTTGGAAGAGGACATTTTTAATAGAGCCAAGCCTCCTCTTCTCACAGATCCCTTGCCATACACTGCCACACACGATGAGCTCCTTTTCCAGGGGATTCACTAACAAGAGCTTGTTGTAGTTGTCCGTCTTTTGGGCCGGGGGACAGTTCTCCATGGTGACGGGAGGAAGGCAATCCTTGCTGTCATAGAAAGGCCCCGTGGAAATGGCTTCCTCCATCGTCAGGTCCGGGGTCAGCTGAAAAAGGAAGTTCGTCGCTCCCAGATAGAGAGTCCCTGAATCGGGATCCATGACCAAATGAAGAAACTTGGTGACGTTGTAAGAAAAGGAGGCATATTGTAGTCCTGGTGGGATGATGGTCCCCAGGAAACACAGCGCAGAAAGAAGGAGTGCCCCCAATGGCATCATACTCATTCTACAAGGAAGATCAAACAAGAGGTGGAGTTAATTTCTCATCTTATTCCACTTTTAGAAATACAGTACTTATAGATAATGATTCGAACGTTGCATTTAAAAGTTATCCATTTCTGCTACCTGCTAGTACTTTAAAGGGCATTTGCTACTCTTATTCCTTACAGTTTTTTAAAATGTCCAGCACTATTATTGTCATGGCGTTGCTTTGTTTTTCATACTCTTGCAATTCATTTTTAAAACAGGATTAATATAGGAAAATGGCAGCCAACCGGTAAAATGTGTTGTCGAAGGCTTTCATGACCAGAATCACCGGGTTGCTGTGAGTTTTCCGGCTGTCTGGCCATGTTCCAGAAGCATTCTCTCCTGATGTTTCACCCACATCTATGGCAGGCATCCCCAGAGGTTGTGAGGTCTGTTGGAAACTAGGCAAGTGGGGTTTAGATATCTGTAGAAAGTCCAGGGTGGGAAAAGGAACTCTTGTCTGTTTGAGGTAGGTGTGAATGTTGCAATTGACCAGCTTGATTAGCATTTAATGGCCTAGGAGTTTCAAAGTCTGGCTGCTTTCTGCCTAGGGGAATCTTTTGTTGGGAGGTGTTCACTCACCCTGATTATTTCCTGTCTAGGATTTCTCTGGGTTGTTGTAGGTTTTTTTCGGGCTATATGGCCATGGTCTAGAGGCATTCTCTCCTGACTAGGCACTGTCAGGCCATTATATGCTAATCAAGGTGGTCAGTTGTATGCTAATCAAGGTGGTCAGTTGAAACATTCACACCTAGCTCCAGCAAACAAGAGTCCTTTGTCCCACCCTGGTCATTCCACAGATATATAAACCCCTTTTCCTAGTTCCAACAGACCTCACTACCTCTGAGGATGCTTGCTATAGATGCAGGCGAAACGTCAGGAGAGAATGCCTCTAGACCATGACCATATAGCCCGAAAAAACCTACAACAACCCAGTGATTACGGCCATGAAAGCCTTCAACAATAGGATTTCTCTGTTTTCTGAGTGTCGCTTTTTATTTACTGTCCTGATTTTAGAGGGTTTTTAAAAATACTAATAGGGTGAGAGAAAGAACTCATGTCTGTTTGAGGCAAGTGTGAATGTTACAACTGGCCAGCTTCATTAGCACTGAATAGCCTTCCAGCTTTAAAGCCTGACTGCTTCCTGAGGTGTTTATTGAGAGGTGTTAGCTTGCCCTGATTGTTTCAGGTGAGAATGCTTCTGGAATATGGCCATACAGCACAGAAAACTCACAGCAACCCAACTTCTAAAATCCTTGTCTAGAAATTTCTAAAAATGCCCCAATTGCCATTTAAATATCACTTCTAAATGTTGAGAATGTTAAGTCATAATTGTGAAGTGATTGAAGTGTTGGATAGGACTTTGGGACATCTATACAAACGCACTGGGTGACTTTAGGGAAGTCACACTCTCTCAGCCTCAGAAGAAGACAATGTCAATATTGACAAGAAAGCCCTAGGAAAAGGTTATCAGAGATGGTTTGAAGTCAGAGATGGTTTGAAGTCACATAAAAAAGAGGAGGAATAGAAAGGAGGAAACCATGGAAATGAACAAAATCTGGCTACTAGTATTAAAAAAAACCCTCCAAAATCAGGACAATAAATAAAGAGGAACACCAAAAAACAAAAAGGGGGGAATTCTAGACAGGAAACAATAAGGATCAGCTAACCTCTCAACAAAGGATTTCCCCAGGCATTAAGAAGCCAGGTTTTGAAGCTGCAAGGCCATCAAATGCTAATCAAGGTGGCCAATTGCAACATTCACACCTGCCTCAAACAGACAAGAGTTCCTTCTCCCACCCTGGACATTCCACAGATATATAAACCCCACTTGCCTAGTTTCCAGCAGACCCCTCCAACCTCTGAGGATGCCTGCCACAGATGTGGGAGAAACATCAGGAGAGAATGCTTCTGGAACATGGCCTTACAGCCTAGAAAACTCACAGCAACCCAGGAATAGTTTTGTCACATCCTTGTATTTAAAAAGTAACTTTTTACCAGTAACCATAATGCCTATATATTAAGAAATTTGACATAATATAAAGAGGCTAAGCACTGAAAAGGTTCAAGAAACAGCGATGTCAAAGCAATATTCTGAATGCTTAGAAACAATAAAAGGAGCCCCTTCTCCAAGGCGTTTCTGCCTAGCATCTGCCATCCCCTCGGATATAATTGGCTTTGAAATCCTAGGAGGAAAAGCAGGATATAAGCGTAATAAATAAAATCTCCCAGGCCATATTCATTCACTCAATTTAGCAATTATGGCTATGCTTCATGCCCGAGAAAGCCATTATTTCCAAAGTCAGAGAATTACAACCATATTGTTTCCATGCTTTTCTTTTCTTTTGTTGCTGCAGTAATCAAGTTCCTCCCCAAAAGATCATAACGTTTTTAACCTTAGCAAACACATTAAGTGAGTGGGAATAATTACCAAAACAAAATGCAGAATTATTTCTTGCTCAAAGTCATAATCGACATCATTTCTCAACTCAGGCTGATTAAGTACTCCAAAAAGTGGTCTAAAGAAAAGGCTTAGGAATGTACATCAAGAGCTGCACCAAACTTGCATGCGATTAACCTACTTTGCGTATCTTCCACTGAAATTACAGCTGGCGGCTATATTTCACTCACTTTATAAAAGCTGCATAATCTCCATTGTTCTAAAACAGGCATGGGCAAACTTGGGCTCTCCAGGTGTTCAACTCCCACAATTCAACTCCCACTTCAACTCCCACAATACCTAACAGCCGATAGGCTGTTAGGAATTGTGGGAGTTGGAGTCCAAAACACCTGGAGGGCCCAAGTTTGCCCATGGCTGTTCCAAAGGATGGAATTAGAGTTCCACATTTGAAAAAGTGGAACATAGCACACCTTGTGTAGATTAGCAAAATGCTATGTTTACACTGGTTGGTGAGATGGAAGGAAAAGGGTTGATTCAGTCCAGAAGCAACCCCAATTTTAGTTTCTCCAATTCCACTGCATACCTTTTTGTAATATTATAAGAGGCTTACCAGATCAGATCCGTGAGGAGGAATTCTTTATAGCTCTAACAGATCAGATCCGTCTAATCCAGAATCCCGTTTTCTACTAGTACAGACGCTTCCAGGAAACGTATAGGGAAGGCAATATAGGCACATCCCCAGTGAATCCCCCCCCCCCCAATTTAATCACATTCAAAGGAATATTCTCACTGAACAGCAATGTGTCTATGAGTAATAACCACTGACAGATCTACCCTCAATGGATACATCTAGTCCCCTTGGACACCCACCTAAGACAATGGGCTACAGTTTCACAATTGTTACAATTAGGATGAGAGCAACATTTTCAGAGAATTAGGAATAATGTGGGTTTGTCTTGAGTTCTCTAGGCTGTATGGCAATGTTCCAGAAGCATTCTCTCCTGATGCTTCACCCACATCTATGGCAGGCATCCTCTGGGGTTGTGAGGTCTGTTGGAAACTAGGCAAGTAGGGTTTATATATCTGTGGAAAGTCCAGGGTGGGAGAAAGAACTCTTGTTGGCAAGTATGAATGTTGCAATTGGCCACCTTGATTAGCATTGAATAGCCTTGCAGCTTCAAAGCTTGGCTACTTTCTGCCTGGAGAATCCTTTATTAGAAGGTGTTAGCTGGCCCTGATTGTTTCTTGTTTCCATCCTGGACCTTTCACAGAGATATAAACCCCCCTTGCCTAGTTGCCAATAGACTTCACAACCTCTGAGGATGTCTGCCATAGATGTGGGCAAAACATCAGGAGAGAATGCTTCTGGAACATGGCTACACAGCCCGGAAAACTCACAGCAACCTAGTGATTCCTGCTATAAAACACAAGGAATAATGTGGTTTGTTCCAGTTGCAATCATAAATCGATCAGGAAGGCCATACCTAATTTTTTAATATTGCAATTGATATTCATTCAATATAAACTGAATAAATAAGTAAACAACCAAACAAATCAATACTCCCCACCACCTTCAGAACAGAATCCATTGTTTTACCATGTCAGATAGAATAAAGTGCTGAATCAACATTGCACTGGACAACAGAAAGTGATCATGTGTTACTATTCACTTAAACCTTAAACCTCTGTATTCTACACACAATGCAAATATAATCTAATGTTAAATGTTATATTCTAGATGTCTAAAGATGTGGCGTGTAAGTCACAAAAGCTTGAACTATAATAAATATATCAGGACCTTTATTTTGCTGCCATAGACCCAATGGAGGTGGGAAGACTAAGGTGGAGGTGCCGGGAGTGAGCAGGGTTCAAGCCTACAAGGACTTCTACTTCATCGTCATCATCATAATAGTTCAATGTATTGTCGAAGGCTTTCACTGGGTTGTTGTAGGTTTTTTCGGGCTATATGGCCATAGTCTAGAGGCATTCTTTCCTGACGTTTCGCCTGCATCTAAGGCAAGCATCCTCAGAGGTAGTGAAGTCACCTCACTACCTCTGAGGATGCTTGCCATAGATGCAGGCGAAACGTCAGGAGAGAATGCCTCTAGACCAAGGCCATATAGCCTGAAAAAACCTACAACAACCCATCATCATAGTTGTCGTCATCATCTTTATTTATACCCCGCTATCATCTCCCATAGGGACTCCGGTGGCTTACAAATAACACACAATAGTGCCATACAACATATAAAATACAATATATCAACTTCACCTGCTTTTCCATTTATGGATTCATAAAGCCCTTTGAAGGCAACCATGTGACTGATGGCCCTTTATGAAAATGAGTATGACACTCCTGCTTTATGGTATACTTCTGCTGGAAGTCATTTGTTCAACAGTATTCACCATCATCTGGAATTTCTACTAAGTAAGTCTGGGAACATATTTCTCCAGATTGGAGGGGGGGGGGAGGGTTGTACTGTATATTTAAATCCTAATTGACTGGACTTTCTGCTATCTTGTTATAATCCTAGCTGAACCTAATTAACTATCCTAAGTCCTGTTCTCTATCTCTCCCA